AATTAAGGGCTTCTAGGGGCGGCAGCACTACTATGCACGCTAATTAAGGGCTTCTAGGGGTAGTATACTACTAGCGTATATAATTATTAACGTTCTTTCTACTCTATAGGGCTCTATAGAGTAGCTAGGATAATTTCAACTATAGTATTAGGCTACTAGCGGTTATCTCTTTTATATAACACTTATAAGGCGATTTAACTAAAAAACATATATAAATAAATTTTATAGAAAATAAAAGTTATGCTATAAACCGCATTTAATAGAAGCGGCTTATCTAAGCAGTTATAGGATCTATAAGAGTAGGAGCCACCTAGGCCATAACAGCCTAGCTAGGCACCCTACTCTTAAACTATACTATATCTAATAGATAGCAACCCCTAGGCTCCTTCTATAGGCTAAATAAAGTAACCCTATAAGGGGCACTATAGTGCGTATTAACTTCTATAAATATAGTCGCTTAGGCTTTATAACTAGTGGATTATAAAGTACTATTTAGGCTTAGGCCTTTTAACACTAAAGGATAGGTTCTATAGATTTCTAGCCTATAGCAAGTCTTACGTAGAGCAATAGGAGGTTACTATGCTATTAATAGACACTAAAATAGTTAAGTTATATACTAGCCCTTCTCCTAGGACCCCTACTATGCTAGCCCTTATAGGCTTATAATAGGGATCCTAGGGAACTTAGGTAGGAAATAGCTATGCAAGGCACCTATAGCGCACGCTAAAGGTGCTACGCACAGCGCGTCCTTTAGGCGCTATATAGATAACTTAAGTCCTCTCTAGCGCTCTCCCAGCACTAGCAGCCACGCCTATTGCGGTAGATAATAGTTATCTAGTTAATTCTACTAGTAGTTATATACTTATCTTAAAGATTAAGCTATACATATCTAAGTATAAGCAATTATATAGTAAAACTATAAATAGCTTATTATATAAGTTATTATTTATTTAATAGTACCTTACTACTTAGATAACTATAGTAATTCTAGAGCTAATATATACTAAAAATCCTAACTTTAGAAGGGATATATTTATTAGATTAAAAACCAATACCCTTTAGGCTCCTTAGTAATTTATAATAACTTTTTAAATTGCACAGCCTTGCACTAGTAATAGTTTATTTAAATTTCTTCCTTATTAACTTTTAATGTTTAGGTCTTAGCTAAACATAGTCGTAATAGGTAACAAAGGGTTAAGGCTCAACCCTAGAGAAGGAGCCTAAGAAATGGCTACTATATCTAAGGAAGGCAGTAGGCATGCAAATTACCTAATCCCGATTTAGGAAGGTAGTAATAATAAATACTAATATAGGGCTCTTTTAGGTCTTATAATTAGAATAAGTATAATTTAAATCTCTTAATAAGGAATAATTAGAGGGCAAGTCTAGTGCTAGTAGCTATAGTAATTCTAGCTCTAATAGTGTATATTAAAGTTATTATAGTTAAAAAGCTTGTAGTTAAACCTTAGGCCTAGCTAGCTAGTCCGCCTTACTGTGTGTACTAGTCTGGCTAGGCCTTTCCCTCTATAGAACCCTATACTCTTTACTAAGTATGGTAGTAAAATAGGACTTTTACTTTAAAAAAATTAAAGTACTCTAGGTAGGCCTATACTTAAATATATTAGTATAGAATAATAAAATAGGACGCGTAGTTCTATTTTATTGGTTTCTAGGACCACTATAATAATTAATAAGGATAGTTAGGGGCATTAGTATTTAATTATTAGAGGTGAAATTCTTAGATTTATTAAAGACTAACTACTATAAAAGCATTTACTAAGAATATTTTTATTAATTAGGAATAAAAGTTAGGGGATTAAAGACAATTAGATACTATTATAGTCTTAACTATAAACTATACTAACTAGGGATTAGATAATATTATTTTTTAATGTATTTAGCACCTTATGAGAAATTAAAGTGCTTAGGCTCTAGGGGGAGTATAGTTGTAAGGCTAAAACTTAAAGAAATTAATAGAAGGGCACT